TCCTTATATCTCAATATTGTTATATTTTATATGTTTATGTTTATTCAATAGATTTTTCTTCTTTTTTCGTTTTGCTTTTGTTTTTTTAGCAGTAAAATAGCTATGATTAAAAAAAAAACAGCCATTAATGGAGGGTGGTTTTAAGGCCCAATCATCGAGAAGTAGGATTTAGAGAGGAGAAACATAAACTTACGTAAAGCCCTAAATTCTCGCAGAACGTGCTCTGAGAAGAACACTCCCAACGAAACAATCAGATGAAAATGGAAATCGCAAATCGGAAGGGATTGCGAGAAGAAAAGGGGAAAATCAAATACCTGAGATATGAGGCCCTTGGCAACGAGCGGCAGTGGCTCGACAGCAACGGACGCGGCGGCTCGACGATAACGGGCGGTGGCGACTCGCCGTCAACGGGCGGCGGTGAGCTGTGTGGCTAAAGAGGGGCAGAGCGGAAATGTTGTGCCAATAATATATTATATTTTTTAATACAATAAATAAATAGAAATATTATTATTCGTAACAGATATTATATATGTTTTTCCTCCGTTTTTAGTTTGGTAATGTTAAAAATAACGTAGAATTAAAAGAAATATTTGTTTTTTTAGTGCTAAAAAAAATGTTAAGAATAATGTAATTCTAAAAACAAATTACAGACGAATAATGTCGATTCAAACGTAACAACAAAATCAGTTAGATTAAATAAAAAATTACAAAATTAAGTTAGACGTTCAAACTATTTACAAAAATAGGTTAAGTATTGATCAAAGTAAAAAATCGCGTATAATAAATGCGATTTAGGTGTCGACACGTCATATATGAAGTGGATATGACGTGGACATTGGGGAATGAGTCAGCATGGGAAATAATGGTGCCGACACACACGCCATATATGAAGTAGATATTGGAGAATGAGTCAGCATGGAAAATCACTTACATGATAAACTATTTCTATTTATGGAAGTCGCGTATATAAGCAATTTCAATTTATGAAAATATTTTCATTTATGGAAGTTGCAACACGCCAGTTTCTTAAAATATTTATATATTTAAATTTTATAAATAAAATATTATTTTATTAGTATTTTAACCATTTTAAATACATAATTAAAAGGATAAATTCATATCTATACATATACATCTAACCACAAAAAATATATTTTATAGAAAAAAAAAGTCTAATTTATAGAAAAAAAATATCACATGCCTATAATATACGCAATTTCTTAAAATATTTTTTATATATTTATATCTATGTTGTTTTTTATTATTTTACAGTTAAAATATTATTTATTTTATTCATATTTTAACTATTTTGAATATATAAGTAAAGTTAATAGGTCCACATCCACGTTCATAAGAACAAAAAATATATATATTTTATAAAAAATAAATAAAAATATACCTAAAAAGTTGATATGCATACCAACACAAATTAATTTTACCTATGAACTTTTTGGAAGAATATATTATTAAAAAAAAATCTTAAAATTAAAAAAAATATAAGTAAATAATTTTTTAAAAAATTAAAAATCGCATGTCATGCATGCAATTCCCCGTGACCCATGAGGCACTAGCTAGAACCACATCACATAGAAGTCGCATCCATTGAATACGTTTTATTTGAAATCTCGACCTACATTATTTAGGTCATTTTTTAAAAAAAATTATGTACTAAAAAAAATAAATAAATAAAACCAACTTTAAAAAAATTAATTCATATATATTGTTTTAATTTTTAAAAAACTTTAGTAGAGATCTTTCTCCATCTTTTCAAAAAATAATAATAAATAAATAAATATAGGTACTGTAGCAACCTTCTTACTTTTTCGTGATTTTTAATAAAAAAAAAGATATATTTTTTTAAGATTTTTTAAATACTTTTGATGAACGACAACGTATTTTCCAAATGTATTTACACTTTTTTTTTTTAAGGTTTTCAGTATTTGTTGATAAAGATAGATATTTTTAAGGGGACTACATAATATTTCATAAGAATTTGATATCTTTTAAAGGTTTTTTTTATACCTTCGATAGGTAATATATTTTTCAAAGGTTTGTAATAACCTACGATAAAGGAAATAATAATTTTTGAAAATCTTTAACATTTTCATTTATGGAATTTATTGATAAATGCATTTTTTTAAGGATTCTAATAACTTTGACAAAAAGTACATAATTTTTTAAGATTTTCTCTACACTTTTGATAAAAGATAATATATTCTTCATAGGCTTTAAATTTTTATTGATAAATGTATTGTTTTTCAAAAGACTTCAATAAACTTCAATAAAATTGATCCATAGATTGTTTGGTCAATTTTGGTACTTCTTTTTATAGTCTTCTAAAAAAATAATAAATATGGGATTGTTTTGGTCAATTGGAAAGTGAGAGAAATTTTCCAAGAAAATCAAATGGAATATAATGGTTATGTTTGGTAAAAAATAAGAAAATAAAATCCATGAACTCTCCTTTTTCCAAGAAATTGCTAAAAATATATAATAATAATAATAATAATAATAATAATTTTTTAACAGTTCATCCTATGTTGACAACTCACCAAAAGCAAAGAAAAAGGATAAATGTCAAACTATATCTCAAACACAATTTTTATTAAAAATAAAAAAAATTAATAGTTTGATAAAAATAAAGTTAAAAAACACATTTGCACTTTTACTAAAGTACAATTTAATCCCTGAGCTTTAGCCTGTAATGATTTAGTCCCAATAGTTTAAAATTCATAACAATTTAGTTCCTACCGTAAAAAAAATTTATTAAAATGAAGTGTTAAATTTTATCATATAACAATTTAAACTTTCTAATTTATAAATATATTTAGTCTATATTTAGTTTATCAATCTATACATATAAGAAACTTAACAAAAAAAGTTTTACGATTAGGACGAGATCGTTACCAACTTTAAATTACAAAAACTAAATTGTTACATATTAAGGTCCAAGGACTGGATTGTTACCAATTTAAAAGTACAAAGACTAAATCGTTACAAATTAAAATTTATAGACCAAATTGTTACTTTAGCAAAAGTACATGGACCAAAAGTGTTTTTTAACTTAAAAATAAAACAAAACAAATTTTTATTTTATGTTTAGTTAAATTTTCAAACCTCTTTACTTACATAAAAATATAATTTGGTCTGGTTAATTTTTTTTACATTATATTTAACATAAATCTAACATCACCCATTTCAAATCCAATATATTTAAGTTAAAACACAACTTGATGCTAATAACCAATTTTGCTGAATATATTATACAAATGAAAGAATAATACTTACCTTCTAGCCGATTCCTACGTCCTACTGACCACGTTGTAAAAATTTGATAGTTATTTAATTTTTTGAAAAAAAATAAATAAATCTCCTCGTTTCGTTTATATATTTTTCTCTCATACTCATTATTGATAGCTATTTAATTTTTTGAAAAAAAAAATCTCCTCGTTTCATTTATATATTTTTCTCTCCACGTTAAAAATATAACAATAGTTAGCAAAAATCAAGTAAAAGGTATATATTATTATTCCAAACTAAATGATAAAGGTTCAAAACTAACATGAAAATTACAAACATGAACACAACTCAACGATAATTTGTATGTACTCTTTCTTTTGAGGTCAAAAATTTGATCCCCCACATCACCAAATTATTGTACTAAGAAAAATAAAGGGAATAAAGGGATTAGTACATTGATGGGCTATTTAAAGATCCTAATTACATAAAAGGATGGAATGTATAGAATTTACACGCTATACATATTTGTCATGTATCAACCCTATTTAAGAGGGTATCCATCATATAAATTACTTAAATAGCCTCTTGTATTTACAAATTAATTTTAAATTCATTTTAATATGTAGAATTGATTAATTGGAAGGTTATAATTTAGATCTCATAATTTTAGGTTAATGATACTTTCCAAAACAAATTATAACACCAAAACATTAAAAACAAAACCCTAAATTCCCCAAAATTGAAATCATAACCTCCCAAAATATTTCCAAATCCCGTCCAAAAATCTCCCAAATTCGAAATCTAAGAACTTTTTTCGCTTCATCCATGATACGTTTAAAAATTCAGTTTTGGAGGACTCATTCTACATTACTATAGGATATATGCGTTTATATCTTGTATACAACTATAAGATATATACACATATAAGATATATACACATATAAGATATATACCTATATATATGAATATAATCGGGAATACTAAGAATATGAGACATTTAGAACTTCAATTTTCTATACACATAAACAAAATATATCCCCATATATACCAATCTTAACGGAAGACTAATAAKATATATGTATACACATRTAAGATATATTCACATATRYAATATATACCTATATATACGAATATAATCTGGAATACTAACACTGTGAGACGTTTAGAACTTCCATTTTCTGTACACATACATAAAATATATCCCCATATATA